CTCCTTCTCTCCCTCCTCTCCTTCTTCATCCTCTTCTTCCTCCTCTTCCTCCTTTATTTTGTCAATACCAGGAATCAAAGCAGTGGAGCCTTATACATGCTGGGTATGTGCTTTACTGCTGAGCTAAAACTCAGCCCACTTTTTTTTTTAAACCATATTGATCAGGACAAAGGTTCCCCTTTCCCTGACATCTCAGACACACCACCGGCATCACTTTCAAAGGCACAACAGGGGACTTGGGGGAGTCAGGTGGTATGGAAGTGATATAGAGGGGCTCAGTTCTCTGTTGCCTCTTCCCTGAGCCTCCTATAGCAGTTCTGGATGGAGAAACCGGGGCACACTTGCCTGGAAAAGCCCTGAACCCATCACCCATGCAGTCCAGGTCCTTTGACTCAGAACTTCTATACCTCTGAAGAGCTCTGTCAATTAAGGTGCTTTCCTCAGCGTCTACACAGTCCCATCAGCCCATGAATGCCACAGTCTCTTTGGGCATTTGCTTAACCCTGAGAACCTCTCAATTTGGGAGACTTTAATAGTTTCCCTGTTAGGGAAACCATTCTCTTCACCAGAAGAAAATGCGGAGTCCTCTGGGTCCCTGGGGAGTCCTAGTTCAGTGTGTATAACCTCAGACCCTTCCTACAAGAATGCTTTTCGGAGAATCTTTTTAGACACCAGTTACACTTACAATTAGCATCTGCTCGTGTATGGACTACCCTACATCTTCTCTCAGTAGACATCTGTGATCCCCAGAGGACTGATAACTTCCCAGCATTTGAAACTGAGCAGACAAAAGAAGGGGGTAGGCACTGACAACCCTCTCTTCTGACTAGGCTAGCATAACAAGGAGCAAGAAGGCAGACAGGCCTCACCGTGGGGGTCTGGAGTTCTGCCTTGTAGTCCATGGTTTGTTTCAGAGAATTCTCAGGCATCAAGGATTTCCATAAAAATATGTAAAACAACTCTTTCCTTGTCCTGGATGTGGGTTTGTATTTCTGTTTAGGCTATGATTGAGTGCCTCGTCTTAGAGGTAAAGGAGAAACCAAACAAAAGGCACACAAAGCATTTGCACAGACATAATTTAAATTTGGAGATCAATGATGGACCCAGAAGATCAGATCCTTCTGTTCCCTCTGAACATGGGAATCTCTGATCCTGTATTGCTGGGTACACCAGAATCTTTTTTTTTTTAATGAGTTTTTTTTTAAAGGATTTATTTATTTTATGTATATGAGCACACTGTAGCTGTCTTCAGACACAAGAAGAGGGCATCAGATCCCATTACATATGGCTGTGAACCACCATGTGGTTGATGGGAATTGAACTCAGGACCTCTGGGACAGCAGTCAGTGCTCTTAGGCACTGAGCCATCTCTCCAGCCCCTAATCTTTTTAACCTTGTGGTTAATAGTTTGTGAGCAAGAGATCAGTTCATGCGTGGCAGATTTACATATGTTTCACAGTGAAAAATTCCTTGTGGCAAGAAAATCAATTAAATTTGCATATAGCAGAGACAACGAGAGTGAGAGCAAGAGAGGGAGGGAGAGGGAGAGGAGGGAGAGGGAAAGGAGAGAAAGGAGAGAGAGGGAGAAGGAGAGAGAAAGAGCGAGCGAGCGAGCGAGAGAGAGAGAGAGAGAGAGAGAGAGAACAGCTATAACTACAGAGTAGAGCTAAGAATAGCAGGAGGCAGCAGCAGTCCTGTTGGTTTTGCATGTGACTGGAGACTGACTACAGTGCTGTGCTCTGTGGCTCTGCCTTCATCTTCTCAGCCATTGGCAGTGCGTCCCCCGCTGAAGAGCACAGCCAGACCTGGAGCTTCTGATGGACAACAGACCCCTTCTAACATAAATCTCTGATGTTCTCTTCCATCTCTTCCATCTTTGTGTGACCGTATTTCCCTCCCAGTGCTGAGGTGGCTCCAGAACAGCTCACCTGGGATGGACAGACACAGGCCACAGCCTGGGCCCAGAAGAGTCTCTGAAGTTTGTTTCTGGGATGAGACAGGCATGGCTGCTCAGCCATCCACTTACCTCCTGTGCTGATTTGGGTGACAAGCTACCCCTAGACTGCAAGGAAGAGGGGGAGCATAACTCACCAGCAGGCTCACAGGGTAGAGCTGGAAAAGAAACCAATACAGGTTAGACCAGAGCAGTGAGTACCACAGACACACAGTTAAACTTCTCTAGAGGGCTTTCCCAAAAGTACCCTTTCCTTCCCTTGTGCCTCCCCCACACCTCCCTCTTCTCCTTTCTGCTGCATCTTCCCCTCGCAGAATTCCTTTCTTATTTCTTTTTCCCACATTCTATATCATCTGGAAAAGACACATGGTCATTTTTATGCTTATAAGGTAATTTAAGTAACCTTTGTCTCCATGATGAAAGACCCTGTTCTTCCCTCACCTCACACCCCAAGGAGAAAGGTGGTTTATTCAGAAGATGCTGGGAAATGTTTATCAACTACAGAAAAATAAGTTGAGTAGCTACCTTATACAGCATTTCATCTACTTGTAAAGAGAAAACTGTATTGTTAACAGAAAACTGTACAGCACCCAGGGATGAGGGAGGATTAGTAAATACAATTTCGAAAGAACAATGTGGAGGTGAATATTGATGAATCTAGTTACATTAAATTAACAGTAATAGTTTTGATTAAGGAAGGATATTATAGCAGATAATCTTAAGAGCTGTCAGAATGGGAGAACCTATATGTTCTTGCTATTAAAGTCTAAAAAGGATACTATTCAGCTGGGCGGTGGTGGCACATGGCTCTTATCCTAGTACTTGGGATACAGAGGCAGGTGGATCTCTGAGTTTGAGGCCAGCCTGGTTTACAGAGTGAATTCTAGGACTCACTCCATAGAGACCCTTCTTGAAAAACTAAACCAACCAACCAACCAAACAAACAAAATACCAAAAATACAAAAAAAAAAAAAACAAAAAAACAACAAAAACAAAACAAAAAACCAATGTAACTTTTCAAGGTACACGAAGAATATTTCTTGATTAACAAGGAAAGCAGTCATCTCAATAGCAAAATAGACAAAGAATATAATAGGCAATATATAACATAGAGGCTCCAATAAACAAACAAAACTCTGAAAGCCCCTAAATATATTAGAAGGTGACCAGTTAATTGATAACTGTAAAACTTCCAAACTGAAACAACAGACAGTGTCATTATATTGGCAGCTGTAAAAAACCTGGATGTTCTGGATACAGGAAGACCTGTTCTTAACTGCCTGTCAGTGTGTACCTTTGCCCTTCCTCCTAGTCATTCCTCCTCTCAAAAGCCTTAAGTGTCATCTCTGGACTTGCTATCAGATATAACAACAGTCAAATAAGAGGTATAAAGGTCTCATTCTCACAGCCTGGAGCCCCATTGGCCAACTTCCTATCAGAGGAGGCTTGGGTCCAGCGTAGAATTAGACTTCTTCAAATACTCTCTCCTAACTCAAGAATTTAGCCATTTTATTGGTCAAATAGGAGAAATTCTGGGGAAGTGCAGGCTTTGTCACTAGATAGGACAGATACTGATATTCATCTGTCCTCTTACAAGCCATGAGGCCCTGGGAAGCATGTCATTCTTCTATTTCAGCGTCTTTTTCAATGAGATTAGGATAGTGACAGAACCTGCCATACTGTGTTTGTAGAGACAAGTGTGTGTCCACAGAGTGCTGAGACTAGCGCCTCAGATTTCTTTAAGATCCCATCAAGATTTTCTCCTAGTTATTAATTGCTTTTATTATGCTTAGCTTGAAATGCCTACTTGGTTAAATGCTTATTTGAATAATTATTTCCTCAGGTAATAGCAAGGGATCAGAGAAAGCTAGCAGAAAAATCATATTTATATATTTTTCATAAACAAATACTTTGCAATATTTGACTGTTACAGAATGTACACTATAGTGGGAGAAAACTCCTGCACCTAAGGCAAGAGAGAAGGCAAGAAGACTATAAAGGCAGAGGACCAAAGGTTTGCTGTGAAGTTGTGTATCCAAGACGTAACAGGGACTCATGGCACCTCAACAATATGGCTTCCTAAAGAAGATCCAAACAATGAAAATATCAATACACATACTAATGCACAAGAAGAAATCTTATGTGGTCCATCCCTAGACAAAGAATTATAGGCAAGTAGTGACTGGTGAGTGTGTGGAGGGATACCCTTTCCCAGGGATGAGTTCCCTGATAGGTTGTTCATCAGCCATAAAATTGTATACACAAAAATTGACCCCAAAGGTTGTGGTTTTATATTTATGTACATATATGGAATAATAGTAATCACAAAAGGTCACTAATGTGAGAGGGAGTGGGACATGAGCAGAGCTAAAGGGAGGACAAGGAAGGGGGGGTGATATAATTATATTTCAATTTAAAACTTTTTGATAAAAATAGAACATTGTTTGGGAGAACAGAGCTCAGATGAAAAATAAAGCAGAGAAATAAGTTGTATTGAGGCTTAATACTGTCTGGACACTCAGAGCACTCCTGGCATAGAGCAGCAACCATGAATAGAGTGGCATGACAGGGAGGGAGGGAGAGGGAAGGAGGGAGAGGGAGGGGGAAGAAGGGAGAGGGAGGTAGGGAGTAAGGGAAGGGA